TTAAAAAATAAATTGATCTCTTTTGAAATTGTTCCTAAGTTATAACTTATTGTTAAATATATATTTTGAAATGTAGAAATCATCTTTTTAAAAATTATTTTTATTATTAAATGAAATTGTATATATTATATACAACATTGTGTTTTCAAATGTACATATGGAATGACTCAATCAAGATAATTAACATGTGCATTACTACAAATGTTTATGATTAAGTCATCTTTTGTTTGTTTGTTTGTTTGTTTATTTGGTACTGGGGATAGAACTCAGAACCTTGCACTTTTGAGGCACTACTGAGCTAAAATGGCCTGATTAAACCATCTTTTGAACAAGAAGTAAAAAGTACTTTTTATAAGAATCAAATATTTTTTTTTAATTTTAAACAACTTACTTGAGGGCTGGGGATTTAGCTCATTGGTTCCAGTGCCTGCCTCTTAAACATAAGGACCCAAGTTCGATCCCCAGTACAAAAAAAAAAAAAATTTACTTGAAAAGTGAAAATTTTAGGTATTCAAGATGTAGGTAATGATTTGATAGAATTATTATACAAATGAATATGTAATTTACTATCCATATTCACTAATTGGGCGAGTATAGGGGGATAATTACACTTAAAATCTGTTATATTTCAAATTTCAAGTGACAAATGCACTATTATTACCTATGGCCACCATATGGTGTATTGCCACCTTATGTTCACTGTAGCATTAGGTACAATAACCAAGATACAGAATCAGGCAATGTTCATCAGTAGATGAACGGATAAAGAAAATGTGACACACACACACACACATACACACACGCACAGAGGTACACACACACCTAAGAAAGAGGGACATCCTGTCCTTTTTTGTTGTTGTTTTCAAGACAGAGTCTTGCTATAGTTCAGACCAGCCTTGAACTCACTATGTAGCTCTGGCTAGCCTCAAACTCACAATGATCCTCCTACCTCAGCCTCTTGAATGCTGGGACAGTGGCATCCTGTGATTTGCAATGCTATGGATGAACTTAGATCTTACTCTGCTAAGTGAAATGGGCCAGACATAGAAAGACAAAAACTGTATGATCTTATATGTAGAATCTAAAATGACCAGTTCACAGAAGCAGAGAGTGGAATGGCTGTTATCATGGTTTGAGGGTAGAGTGGGGGAGATGTTTTAATGTGCACAAGAAAGTGATTTGAGACAATTCAATCAGGCTTAAGGTCAAGGGCCAGTCCAGAACTAGAAAACAACTAGCTGTTGATGGTGGCAGGAGATTGAGGTTTTTTTCTGCCTTTTATACTGTTATCTCAACCTTCTTATCAGGTAGCCCTAATCCGGGTTTGCTCAATACTAGAGAGGAAAAATCCTCAGGAATTCAGCTATAAATGTCTTCAGTTATTAATTTTCCATCACATGTTTTTTAATTTGACTTGGTTCCAAGGTATTTTATGAAATTAACTCTGTATTGTTTCTTTTGCTGTGTTTGCGAATTTACTCCTCATTAAAGTTTTAGGCTATGATATCACATGGACTGCTAATATATTATTCAGAAATCATGAAAAACAGTCATTTTATAAAGCAAGATTTTAACTTAGATGTCTAGTTAATTGAATTCATGTGTCAAGAATATTTGATCTTTAGTTATTTTCAAAATTGTCTCAAGCTTACAAATAAATCATTAAAATTTAAAAATTATAGAAATTCATAAAAATATTTGTTCTTCTATTAGTAGGGGTTAGGTAAGTGAGTTAGTTATTTTAGTTAGGGAGAAACATAACTGGATAAAAATTTGTATGTCACCATTTTTTTTTTTTTTTATGCTACCCGGGATTGAACTCGGGTCCTTGCACTTGCAAGGCAGGCCACTGAACTGCTGAGCTAAATCCCCGGCCCAATGTCACCATTTTTTATTTGCTGCACTTAGGACTTTTTTTTTTTGGTACCGGGAATCGAACTCGGGTCCTTGCACTTGTGAGGCAGGCAGCAGAACCACTGAGCTAAATCCCTGACCCTCTTAGGACTTTTCTTTGGGATCATATATTTAAGAGGAATTAAAATTTTCTTCTTACCACTTTTTTTTTTTCAAATACCAATTCTAAGTTAAAATGCCACTCAAGCTTTTACTGGTTTTAGAGCTTTATTTGTTGTATAAACTTCCAGATACTTTTATACATAGTTATTGGGGATTATTCTGTCAAAAGAAGATAGTAATAATATGGACATATGAAATGCATAATTTCATTCCACTAATCTTAACAAGTACCTGCCATGTGGAGATAATCTTCAAGTCATGGTAGGGGAGGTTGGAATCCAAAGAAGCTTCAGGTATAGATCCAGTTTAGCAGAGTTTAAAATCTCATATTGATTGCTATTTATTTGTTGCTTCTCCTTCAGACATTATGTCACAGAAATAGGCTCTGAAACTAAAAGAATTTGTATAGCATTCAGCGTTGATATTTATAGCAAAATAACCAGTAGATGGAGAGCAGGGATGACCTGTTGTGCAAAAGTATCTGAAAAAATAGAGATTTGCCTACATTTAGAGCAGGTCTGAGGAATCAGCCTAAGGAGCTAAGAAAATTAGTAGAGACCTTTACTGTAAGTTAACAGAGCCACCCAGTGTTTTGTTACATAAAAGATTAATATAAGCAGCAACTTGTTTGTGGATTGATTGTGCAGGTCTTTAATCAAGTGTGATTTAGATGCTGAGCACTTTTCATTAAGTCCACAAAAGAGGGTCAGTTTTATTGAGGCTCTGGCTAATAATTTATTTATAGTCTTTTTGTCAAAAAAGATTTAGGACACCTGAAAATACGGTGAGATAGCACAAACTAGAACACAAGAACAGAGGATAAAAAGCTAGTAAATAGGCCAAAATTATGGTGATTCTCAAATACTGACTAACCCTTTCATATTTTCTATGAAACAACTCAAATTTTCAGGTTAAAATGGAGACTGATCAGTTATAAAATTAAATAGCCAGAAAGATGAAATAATTACTTTTAGGAAAAGTAAAAGCCCATTTGATGCCAAGAAACTGAGAAAATTTTTTCTGGACATCCTCCAAGTGAGATATTGCATAAGTTAATATGTAATGTTCTCCATTCTCATAGTAGAAATGTTTCTGAATCTTTGAGGACGGTTTAATTGTATGTATACTGACTTGGAAGAATATGCACCAACCTCCATTGCAAGGGCTTGTATTACCTAATGAACCTCAAATAAACCAGTGGGGTGTAGGTCGTAATATTGCCATATTGCAAATGAGGCAACTGAGACCCAGTGAAGCTAAGAACTTCCCCAAAGTCAGGCTTTTAATAAATGGTGGAACTGGGATCCAAACCTGGATGGTCTAGTTCAGCACCCATGGTCTTTTTCAGTAGGTTATCCTGTCAATTAAATACAGTAAGGTCAATTCAATGAAAAAGAACAATACTCAGGTTCTGCTCCCCTAAATTTATGTAATTGGATAGGTGTGCTTTAATATGACACTACAGAGGAGGTCAGGGTTGCATATTTTTTAGATGACTTAGTTAACCTTACTCTCTCCCAGACTTTATCCCCAAATCTAGGCCCTGCACACTTGTTTACATGCATGTGTGCACATGCCTTTGGTTCAAACAACAATTAAAAAATAACAAACAAAAAAGAACCCGGAAATCCATGGCTTCCTGACTTTAAGAAAGAAGTTGAAAGTCCATACCTTTTTTATGGCATATCCTCAGATAAGAGATCTAAAATATAGCCAGAACAAAATAGACTTTATTTTGTTAGCTATTTTAAAAAAGTGGTATCTAGAAACATTTGTAAATGTCAACTAAATTTATTTTTCTTAATCAGTCATGAAAGTTGATTGGCAATCAGCAAGGCAAGTCTTGGAAGGAATTTAGCTGGGAAATAATAGTATCACTGAAACATTTTTAGAGGAGTCAAAATTCATAGCTTCAGTTTTAAATGGAGCATTTAGAATGATTTTTTAAGCTATACATTAGGATAGATGTGAGTTTAATGTCTTTGCTAAGAAAGCTTAAAAGGTATAATCTGTAAAATGACTGTTCTCTATACATAAGTCTCCTTGAAAACAAATTTTCATGGCATTTTAAAGAAATACTTAGCCTAGCTCAATGAAGATTCCAATGCTCCTAAAAGATTCAGTTTCTGTGTTGGGACCAACATGGTGACTTACGACACATAGACTTATACAGAGATTTTCAGATTGGTAACCTAATAACTAGCTGAGTTCTTGAAAGATTCATCCTATCAAAAGAATGCAAATAAAATAGAGTGGTGCTGAGATATAGTACAGGGAATACTGGCTAGGGAGCAAGACACTCGGGGTTCCCAGGTCTATGCTAGATGCTAACATTTGGTGTGTCCATTTTCTCTTGAACTTGGAGCGAGACTTGGATTTCTGTACCAACTCTGAAACCTATTGGCTGAATGATATTGGATTAGTCAGTTAAGCTGTTCATGCCTCAGTTTTTAGTTTCTTTACCTTTAAATTGGTGTACCTATAAATCAGGCACTCACTTTGTACAGGTATTGTGCTTTTGTATATTTTCAGTCTTTGGTAAGTCAGTCTCTCTCTCTCAACTTATTTTATAGCCTAGGCTGGCCTCGAATTCATGATCCTCCTGATTCACACTTCCCAACTATTGGGACTACAGGCATGTGTGACCACTCCTGGCCTATAATGATCTTAAATAGGATATTTACCATCATCACCCATGAGGTTGCTGTAACTGCAGCTGTACTGCAGCTGAGAGACTAGGTAATGTGAAGAGTGCAAGTGAGATATTTATGTAAAGTACCAGGCCACCTGGTACAAAGCTGATTCTCCAGAAATGGTAGCTGATGCTATTCCTGTCAAGTCTATCTCACCCATCCTCTTGTTTTAGGCATGTTTTGAAGATTAACGAGAACAGAACCACATCATTAAGCAAAATGAGGTTCAAAAATATGGTAGAGATTTAGATCAAAGGGTATAAATAAAACTGAATTTTTATTTTCTTACAGGAGTGGCAGAAACTCAACTATGATATCTATACCCTCCGGCAGATTAGAAGGGAAGTGAGAAACAAATGGAAACGCATTTTAGAAGATTTGGGTAAGTCTGAAAGAGTTTGTAAAGTGGTAAAAATAAATAGCTGTTGTCATTACTCTTTACTTTCTCCATAATGTTTTTTCATAAAGAGGAATGTGAGCAATTGATTAATTAAGGCTACCATGTACTTTTTTTCATTAAGTTTATATGTATAACATTTTAGTTATACAATACAGTTACATTGATCATTGGGAACTTGTACCTTTACATGATGTATCTTGGAAGGCTGCCATGTACTTATTTTCTCAATCTTGCTATTACATATTCATGCATATACAAAAGATATTTCTGTTGTCACCAGCCCGTGTCTTGAGAGGACATGCTTCATGTCATTCGTTGTGCCAGTCCATCTATCCCTAGGATAGGGTAGCACGGTGCAGTAGAGGCATATGGGAGTGACTACTTACTGTTTTGCCACTGTACATGGATTGAATTAGATTGGGGAGTTTGGCCAATCAGTATTAGCTTTAGAGTTGAGAAAGGTTGGGAGAAATGTTGTTTGTAACAGTCAGCAAGACAATACAAAATTTCAGAAGTAAAAAGAACAAATGGTTTAAGGTTGGGAAAAATACCTGAGGTATTAGGGTAGATGTTGGGTAATATTTTTTTCTTCAGAGTTGTGATATAATCTACAAGGCCTCACATCATGATGGCTTTGTTTTGATATTTAAAAAACAAATTTATCAATTTTGAAAGCCGTCATCCTTCTGCTTTGATTGATCATGATGGCCCAGCACCATAACTTTTCAAAAGTGGGTTGCCAACTTGCTAGGCCCTGATGCTCTAGTTGGAGTAGAGCGAGATGAGATGAACCTCTGCCCTCTGAACTCACCCAACATCACTGTGAGTTAATAGTCTCCTTTTTCACAAGGTAAGTTACCCAGACAGGTTTAAGTCTTTTCTCCTTTGGCCAAATAATTTTCACCAGCCAGCCATAGTGTCTTGATGAAGGAAATCTGGGCTTGGAGCAGGAGAAACCTGGAGGTGACCACTTTGCAGGTTGAGGGCACATAGGCATTCTAGGGACAGAAAGGGTGGTGAAGATAAGGAAGGACAGAGAAGAGGGTTTCAGACTAAACAAAGGGCAGCAGGCAGGCAGTGGCAGAGTATGTGAGGTGTAACTCAGAGAAAATGCTAAGGATGAAGTCAGTAAGAAGAAACACTGAGTTTTAATTCAAGACCCTGCCAGTCACACTGTGCTGGGAAGCAGCACAGGGAAGACCACCACTGGCTTCAGTTTTCTGATGTTTATGCAGATTCTGCACTTGGGTCCCCTTTTTATCTCTGGCAGGGACTGGGATTATAGGACAATTATTTCCTAGTGACTGCTTTACATGAAGGGTAAATTTTTCTACCTCAGGTTTTCAAAAGGAGGTGGATTCTTTGTTGTCAGTGACTAAACTTAGCACCATGAGTGATTCCAAAAACATGAGGAAAGCTCGAGAGATGTTGTTAAAACTGGCTGAAGAGACCAGTATTTTTCCAACCAGTTGGGAGCTCTCAGAGAGATATCTCTTTGTTGTGGTAAGTGGATACTTTTCTTCATCTGCCCTGGTTTTGCTTTAGATTTTTGTCTTTCCTGTTATTCCTTATACTCCATTCCAGTGCCCCTGGCACCACTAAAGGACAGGGTGGCAGATGGTACCAACATTATACATACTGGTTTCCAGTGGCCAGCAACATCAGAAGCACCTGAAAATCTTTGAAAATACAGATTTCTTGATCATACCTAAAAGCTACTCAGGCTTGGTTTGTGACTTAAGTATCTATGTCTCTCAGCTGGTTTTGTTGTGCAGGTAGGGTTTTGAATCATTTGTAGGTCAAAGAGGTGTAAGAAATATTGTTTATTTCACTTCAGATTGAAAAGTAATTTGAAAGTGTTCTAGGATGGGTAGGGTATTTCTTGGATAATGTAAGTAAAGGATTAAGATGTCTCTGAATTTGTTAAGAAAAATTTAATAAATGTTTTACGTGGTTGTCATTAGGTGTAGGATGGGTTTTGTTTTTGTTAGATTGATTTTTCCATCCATCTGGCTTGGTTTCTAATTTGGCAACCTTTGCTTCCTTTTCTTCTTTCTCTCTTTCTCTTTTTTCCCCCCAGGACCGACTCATTGCTCTTGACGCTGCAGAAGAGTTCTTTAAAATTGCTAGTCGAACTTATCCCAAGAAGCCTGGGGTCCCATTCTTGGCAGATGGCCAGAAAGAACAACCCTACTGCCCATTTCCAAGTCCCTAAAGGACAAGATCTAAAGGAGAATGGGAGTTCTTCCATTGGGACTCAACTACTAACCAAATTTGGATGACTGCATGTAGAAGAGAATGAGCAAACAGAGGGCTTGCTAAGTGAGAAATGATTCTGAGTCCTACAAGATGTAAGGTCTTCATGAGGACCTTGTTCTAAGAAATGTTCCCAATGCACTGAAACACCCTTGCATCTAGAAGAAAGTTAAGGAATTGTTTTGGTTAATGGAATAGTTCATTATGAGTGATCAGATTCCAACAGCCTATTGCCTCAGCTTTGGTTTTGAATGTACAATAAGCTGTAATCATTAATTCTGCTAGGGGAGTGGGATATTCTAATTAATAAAACAATATGATTATTAGAGCTATCATTGAATCCCACACTGGATTACCATCTTAAAATAATTATAAAATGTGATAATACTGGGCAAAATGTTCCAAATAGGACTAGTTATTATATAACTTCTGTTTGATCTGGAAAATGTGGTAGAGCTTTGAAGGATGTCAGAGGCATCATTCTGAATATCAGTTGTGATTGTTCAAAACTGAGATGAATCAAATAATAGAAATGTCTAGAAGTGTTGCCCAGAAGTGAGTTCCAAATAGAACTCCCTGCAGCAGTTACATGTGAAAAGTCTGTCTTGTGGTACATACATCATAAACCCTCAACATTGTTGATAGCTGGTTACCTCATTTTCACTTATTCATTTTTAGTCCAAAAGCCCTTGGCATTTTACCTGGGGTAGCATCTGTCAACAGAAATGTTTGGCTTCCACTTCCATGACTTGTCTTTAATCTGTTTCCAGCTTTTAAGCTGAGAGTCACACCTGACCAGGGTCCTCCCACACACTTGGCAGTGTGCGGGCAGTGAGGCACTGAAGGTCGTTGCTGGACTTTCTTCCACTCTGAAGATGATTTTCAGAATGAAACAAGTTTGTCCAGTGCAGCTTGCTTCTGTCCTCTTATTGAGAAATCCAGCTTCAAAAGTTACCTGCCACTTAAGCCATCAGCTTGCCAAGAGATTGTGGTTCACTTTATTAAGAGGCCTTTAAGGCTTTGTAGGACATATCAGTAAATTTCTAAAAACAATGGCAATATTTTTATTTTTATAGATTTTTGCACTTCTGACTCATATTGGTCTTCTGACTTGTATTGGTCTGTCCAGGGGATTGTGACTTGAAAAGTTTCATATCCTATTAGCTTTTATGGTAGTGTACACAATGTTTAAAATATTTATTAGGAGAGCCATGATGTCCGTTTCTTAAGGCATAACAGGCCAATTTAACTGGTATGTTTCAGGAACATTCTTCCTAGTTTAATATGTAAACTAAAAGTTATTTTATTTTTTATACTTGGCACTTAATCCCTGTCTCATGTTTAAAATTAGCCTAAAGATGTGTTCCCCCTCTTCTGTAGACATTTAGACAATAACGTAGAATGAAACAATAAAAAAATCTTAAAACATCATACTGTTTTAATTTCTGTACTCAAAATTCTTGTCTTTCTGGCTTTATTGGTGTCAAAATAGATGAGATTATTATGATTGTGATCTATGGATATAAACTGTTGCCATAGTTTTTATTTTTGGTGATGAACAGTATGTGTAAAATTGTTTTTTTTTTTAAATTTTTTTTCAGCTTTGAGTTTATTGGTACATTTTAGGGATACAGTACAGTTACATTTTGTTGGGATTTTTTATTTTTGGTGATGAACAGTATGTGTAAAATTGTTTTTTTTTTTAAATTTTTTTTCAGCTTTGAGTTTATTGGTACATTTTAGGGATACAGTACAGTTACATTCATTGTTGGGATCTTGTATCTAAAATTGTTTTTATGGTTATTAAAATACATCAAGTATTCCAGAAAATCATTTTTCAAGGAATTAAAAGTGTTCTGTACATACTTGTAAATCGGATATGTGTTATATTTCTGACAAATAAGAAGAAATAGATACTGTATCCATCATCCCTTTAAGTTAAAGGGCAGAAAAGTTGAGAGACAGATGGGTTCAAGGAGATCTGCTTATCCTAAATCCTGTCAAGGGTTGGGGCTTGCGAGTGAGTGGTGCTGCAGTACATGAGGATGGCTCAGGTGTTACTGAGCACACTGCGAAAGTCAAGGTATGTGCGCAGCAGAACCAGGGGCTGTAGATGTGTAGGCTAGAGGTTTTTTTCTTTTTAACCTTTGACCGCTTTTAGTACATCTTGAAGATTCATCTGTGGATGCAGGGCGATTCAAGTGGTTGATGGATGGAAAACTTCATATTAATAGTTATTTTTGTGTATAACAGGGGAGTCCCTGTAACTAGCAGATCAAACAGCTGATTTCATATTCCTTGGATGTTATTGCACAGAACAATAAAGTATTCATGTTTTATTAAGGGTGGGGACCCTCAAGAAGGCACATTCACCTAGAGATGAGGATGTGTTGGCAAGCGGCGCCAGCGTCACTGAGATTTGCAGGCCAGATGCTGTCACAGAAGTGGACTGGACATCGGCAGCAGTGTGGAAGAATTGGGCCCGGTGACTGTGTCCCACTGTCAGAGAAAAGTGGGTACAATTATCATAATGAGTAGCCTGCTGAGAGCTGTGGCGATGGTTAATAGGACATGGAAAATTAAATGGGTAAATAGTAAGAGTATTACTTCAGCTGTGCTACTGAATGATCTCAAGGAGGGCGATCAGGAGCTAGCACGCAGCTACCTTAATACAAGGTTATAAATTCTTGCCAAGTTTCTCGATCTTCACTATTTTTTCGAACCAGAAACTATTGACTGAAGGCCCAACCCCCAAGAAGAACTTGTGATACCACAAGTGTGTATGCCAGTGATTCCTCTGGATTGCTTACCAGGCTTACTGTACTCTGTGGAAGGACAGTACACAAACACTCTGAATGCCATGGGACACAGCGTCCAAGTTGATGTTGATACTCAGGAACCAAAGTATTCTTGTGGTTTGCCTCTTAGAGTGGGAGCACACGTGGTTCAGATAACAGATGGAGTTCTTTTCATGTCATACAATAGTTCACCGAATTCATGGATCTTTCCGGTAGACATCACTCTGCTTCGAGGATAAATTATTGGACTGAACATACTTGGGTGTTGACAGAACCACTATTCTTTCCTTGACTTATGGGTTTTAAAATTATCTCAGTGGGAAAGCTAGGTAGGAATCCCTGAAAGTTCTCCACCCTCTGGCCAAGATAGTAAACTAAAATCATCCTTCCATTTTGGGAAGACTCCAGACATTACTGTTATCTAAAGCCCATACTAAAGCCTGTAGTTTATTCAGATGCAACTTAGTAGTTACCTGACTTTTTGTTGTTCCAAGACCCCATCTAGGACACCATACTGCATTTAGCTGTCACATTCCCTCAGAATCCTCCTAGTTGGACAGTTTCTCAGGCTCTCCCTGTCTTCAGTGATCTTGACAGTTTTGAGGAGCACTTGTCAGGAGTCCAGAGGAGAGGAACCCAGAGACCAGCTGCAGTGGTGGCCGTGTAGGTGGTCCTATGAACCTTTTTCATGAAGTTTTCCTCAGGAAAAGAAATGTACCAGGATTGTGGAGGAGACTCCCCTAGGCCTGGCCAAAAAAAGAAGTGGACCTGAGCAGCACACCAGGCAGAGGATGTAGGGATGTAGTATGGCTTCTTAGGTCTGCTCTCTCTGGAACTGACATACTCATTCCCTTAGCTCCCAGCAGTGGCAATCTGGTGTTGAACCTCTGACATAAGTCCCTCTCTGGGGAATTACCACCAGCTGATGACAGCTATTTGCCTAAACCTACCTCTCCGCACCCTCCTTGGGGGCATCCTCCATCTATTGACTAATTAATCGGTACAGGTATATGAAAGATTAGCCTAACTCCAGAGCTCCTGATTAGATTGGCTGCAGTGTTTGCTGTGACTTCATCTCAATGAAACTTCTTCCCTCAATCCTGCTTTCCCTCACTCCTCCATAGTTATCTGCTAATATGTATGTCAATCTCCATGTCCCCAGGAAATCTCTTTCCCAGGAAAACCATGGTGACTGTATCTGAGTCACCAACACAGTTCTGAAGTCTGTACTCATGATTTTCACATTCATAGTGATTTTATATTGGTATAATTAATCTGGTTTCATTTTGATTAATCTTTTAAAATATATATTCTTTCACTGGAATCACTTAAAGTGTACTCTTTATTTTAGTTACTTAAAAATTTTTATTTTAGATATTGTTACCTGGGGATTTATTTAACTGAGTGGGAAATGGCTAGGGCATTAAGCATAGGAGTCAGCTGTTTAAAGGCAGTAACTGGAGACAGACTGAATAGACAGTAACAGAAACTCATTGATTTGATTACTTTCCAGTGATCAGAGAGGAGTCATGGCACAAACCTGGGTTCCTTTCCATGGAATTAATGTATTTATTCATTTCTTCAGATAGTTTTCTAATACTGCTATCACAAGGAATTAAGTTTAATTAAGTTGCACGGAGAGGAATATACTCTCATAATTTCCAAATGACCATTATGCACAGCATGAAAATGGCCAGCTGCTTTGAACTTTCTGTTTAAAGTGTTTCAACAGCATTATTAGCTTCAAGAATATTTTCCACCTTCTGTCTTCACACACTACAAACGGACACTTGGGTTCCCAATTTTCAAGTCATGTAATAAGGATTTAAGAACACTATGTTGTGGAGAACTGAGTCTTAGGTTGGGTCTCCTACTTTGATCACTTATTAGATAAAGGATATTTTCTGGGTATCACCTCATCTAAGTATTTAAGTGAGAATAAACTTTGGAGACAATAAACTGTCATAAATACAGAAGTGAAATAATAATATTTAAACCAGCTGGAGAAAAAATAGATTTTACTTTTTCAAAAACCAACCACTTCAGGCTTGAAGCACCAATTTAAACATGTTTGAGACCGAGTAGTGTGAAATATGTATAGGTGTAAATGAACTTTATCATATATTCTAGAGACATGTAGTTGCATTTGAAGTATCCTAATCAGGAATCCACTTTCAAAAGATGGTTGTCTAATCATTTCAATTAACTCTATTAAAAATTTACACCAGAAAGTTCATTAAGTTGCATAAAATATGTTAGGAATAAAAAAAAATTTTTTTTTTTTTTTGTTACCTGGGATTGAACTCGGGTCCTTGCTCTTGCAAGGCAGGCCACTGAACCACTGAGCTAAATCCCCGGCCCAGGAATCAATTTTTGAAACAAGTAGTAGTCAAGATAAGTGATTCACTAGAAAGACTGTCTAGTCTTCATCATCTTCTCAGAAAAAGGATGTTAGCTGGGCAAGGTGGCGCATGCCTGTAATCCCAGCACTCAGGAGGCTGAGGCAGGAGGATCGCTGTGAGTTTGAGACCAGCCTGGGCTACATAGTGAGTTCCAGATCAGTCACAACTACATAGACTCTGTCTCAAAAAACAAACAAAGCAAACAAACAAAAAAATCAACCACCCCCAAAAAAACAAAAGAAAGAGGATGTTAAATATGGGTTCAATCTAGTGGTGCTCAGGGCCTAGAGCCCCACGTGTTCTTTCCACACTTCCCAGAGCTGTTGATACAATGTCAGACTTTTTCAGAAGACTGTGTGTCTGCCTAACAACGAACGCTTTATTCCAACTTTTCTTTATTATGGGTTCCAGAAATTCTCTGGGATTATAGGAAGCAAATGCGGTGTTTCTAGTTAATAAGCATTACAAGTTTAGAAGAACATGGGCTGTTATTTGCTTTCCCTGGAACATACCAGCTGCTTGTAAGTTTATGGAAGAGGAAATGGCTTTCCTTGACTCTTCAAGTTGCAGAAGCTCATTGGTGTTTTGCTAAAGACTTGGGTATTTGCCGAAAGATCACACTGGTTTGGAATTTCTAACCCAGTTTTAAAATATGCAAGGAATTCAGAAAAATTTTAAGACGAATAAAAGAAACAACTATAATTCTAGAACGCTAGTGCAATCATTTATAGCAGTTTAGATTTCATTCTTTATTATGGGCACGTTTGAAATTTGAACATATAATTTTATATCCTGATTGAAAAATTAAGTCAAGGATTATAAATTCAGATGCTTTCACGAGCCACTGCATGGAGACTGTGGATCCTGGGAGCTTATGCACCCTCTCCTTCAGGGGAAGGCTTATAATTACTCAGTTGCAAATGAGTGTTGACGTGCAAAAAGGCTTATTTTTGCCACTTTGTTCATCATCAAGTATTCTCCAAAATGTTTCAGCAATTTATGCTATTGTCTAATAGTGATGTATGAGAATATAACTTTATATCCTTTTTATCATCAGAATATATATTACTTCAAAAATGGGCAAAGAAAAAAATGTTACCTCCTTCTTGATGCAGCTTTTGATGTAATTTGCATCTCTTGCTAATTGGGTCGAACATTATTCCATATGCTTGTTTACCGGTTTTATTTTCTCTGAGGTTTGTCTATGTTTCTTTTGTCCCTTGTCTATAGGGTGCACTCTTTGAAATT